TTGCCCAATAGTCTGCAGAGTTGCACGACCACAGTGGAAGACGATCAAGACTCAGGGCTGCTCTACCCTTTGGGGCTTCCAAGAATGAAATCCCCAGCAGGTTAGAATGTATTCCTATCTTTCAGGCCCATTGTCATGTCCAGGGTTTCAGAAGGTGAGAGTGCAGCCTAACTGGAGGGCACACCATCATCCCTCAGAAGGAAAGAAACAAACTGTGTGCCTGGCACGGATCTAGATGTTTGGATACTATGGAGAGGAAGAAAGACAATGATGCCTGAACTCATGGGCATAGGAGACAGAAAGACAAACTACAGAAGATGGAGAAGAATGTTATATAAGATGCCCAGTGAATGTGAGGTGTTCACCGAGGAGAGGCTCGGAGGTAAAGCCATCACCACACAGTGAGCACCAGAATCTGGATCCCTAGGACCAGGGATCTATGTGGCTTTACCTTCCAATTTCAGCCTGGGAAAGAGAAGAGAGTCCAAGCTGGCTAGTGAGACTAGCCATATGGATAAGCTCTGGGTTTGATTGAGAGACCCTGTCTCAGTGACTAAAGTGGAAGAGTGATGGAGGATATCTGTACATCGGTCTCAGGCCTCCACATGCATGTTCAGACATGTATATGATGAGCACTTTCACACATGTACTCACACACATGCAAAAAAAACAAGCACACATGTACAACACAGGCTCACACACACATGTGTGCGCTTGTGCATGCACAAGCACAGACGTGCACACAGCAGGGGAAAAAAAAGAAAACAAATCGACCAGTTGTCCTTAAACTAGCTGAGGTTTGAAAGCCTGATTTGCATCAGGCTCACAGCTGCCTCAATTGACTGCAGAGAGAGATAAAGCCTCCCACGCTCCCTTTGGGACAGATGTGGTAAGTTTGATTGTGAAATTCAGTTAGGTGCCTTCTGCCGGGCCTGCCTCCTCCTCCACTTCTGGAAACTAGTAACTTAGAGCTGACTGCCTACTTTTACCTTCCCAGCAGCTGGCCCCAGTTGAGCCTGTGGGCCCAGAGGTTGGCTCTGCATGTTTATGTAACTAACATGCAGTAGCCTAACATTGGCTCCCGCTGACATCGCAAATCACACCCCTGCATCCATGCATGGTAGCAGTGTAAAAGCTTGATGCTGTGACCCAGACCAAGACCCAGACATGCCGGTATCACCAATGACTCCACCCTCCCCAACAGCATTGTGTTGGCTGGTTTTATGTCAACTTGACAGAAGCTAGAATCATCTGAGAGGAGGAGTCTTCTATTGATAAAATGTTTCCATAAGATTAAGCTGCAGACAGCCTTAGTTTTCTTAATTAATGACTGATGTAGGAAGGACCAGCCCATTTATTATGGGTGCTGCAACTCCTGTGCTGGTGGTCCTGGTTACTATAAAAACGTGGGACTCAGAAGGCCATGATGAGCAACCCAGTAAGTGACACTCCTTCACGGCCTCTGCATCAGCTTCTGTTTCCAGGTTCCTGCCCTGTTTGAGTTCCTGTCTTGACTTCCTTCAAGAGTAGATTGTGATGTGGAAGTACCAACCAAATAAAGCTTTTCCTGTCCAAGTTGCTTTTGTTTCATGACAGCTGTAGTAACCCCTAACTAGCACAGAAATTGGTTCCAGGAGTGAAGTATCCCTATGACATACCTGACCATGTCGTTCTGAGAAGGATTGTAGAAAGCCTTTGGAACTTTGTGTAGAGGGAATCTTTTGTACAATGTGTGGAAGCTCCACCTGCCCATAAAGGGCTGTTGGCCTATGAGCTTAGACAGGAAATAGGAACGTTGAAGCTCCAATATAGAGAGAGGATTTCTGGGAGAGAGTCAGAGGCACAGGGGAGTCTTCCTAAAACGTGATAGAGCCACTTTTGTGAACCTGAGGGGAGGTAACCCCCACATGGCAGGACTTAGACTGGAGTAAACAGGATACCTGATTACAAGCTAGTTGAGGAACAAGCCCCAGCTTTTGGCCTAGGCAATTATTCATAATTCAATCTCAGAGTCATTATTTCATGAACTTGGGTGTGGGTGGCAAAGCCCGAGGTTACAACTTTGGGCTATAAAAGCCAGAGTGTTCAAAGCTTGGTGAACTGGTCTGTCGGAGCTTGGAAGATAAGCTCACTGAGAAAAACTCCTAAGACGGAGGTCTAGGTTGTGATGTTCCAAAGGAGAGGTTGAGGCAAGCATCTCTGTTCCTTAGACAGAGTAGAGAATCAATGCAGCATTCGTTACACTGCTCACTCTGTTCCAGACTTAAAGACACAAGCCTTCCAGATGCCCTGGGATAGGTGTTGGGCATGGGGGTGAAGAGAGGGGCTGCTGATTCTAGATCTCCACAGGATGTAACAGGGCAGTGCCACCCAATACTACATCTGTCACACAGAACATTAAGGTCCTATAGGGACCTTAAAGGGCCAGGGTTCAAGTTCCCCCCCCCCCCCGCCATGGCACACATATTCCCAGATTTGGCCACACCTATCCTTAGCATCAAACACTTCCCAGTGGCTCACTGGCAAGCAGGACCCTCTCACCCTGCTCTTTGCTCTTCCCAAGCTGTGTTGCTACTTCTAGAATCACTGCTTCCCAAGAGCCATTACAGGTTTCAGGCTACAGCTCACTTCCCAGTAGACCTGAGTGACCTCTACTGCCTGAGTGTTCTCAGGCTTCACACTTCCGTGTCTACACACTTCTGTGTCTACATGCATCACACTTGCAGAGCTTTGTACTCCAAAGAAGCTCATCTAGTTTGTCTGTGAGGTGGGTGTCTCCGGGGCTTTTCACAATCCTTGGCACCCTGCATGGACTGGGCACTCCAGGGGCACAGCCACAGGGTAGGTGCGGTGCTGGAAGATGGCTGGGTGCCTCCAGCACTGTTTAAGCTCAGCTCTGCCCAGGACCTCTACTTCCTGTCTGAGCCACAAGGATAGATTTGTTCTCTTGTGAGTCGTCCCCACCCCTGACCTTCAAAGAACAAGGCAGACGAAGGACGTCTGCATGACCACCTGACTCTGAGCTAGACATTGATGGCGTGACGCTGGTCACACCAGGTGCTCAAGGCCAGAATGTAGTGGAGGTTCTCCCAGGCCTGTCTTCAGTGCTGGGGACAGAGGAGAACAGTGTATGCTCCTTCCCAGGGGACCTTACCCCCGAATCCTACCTTCCCAATGCTGGTACAACTTTCCACTCTTCCCCCACTAAGTCCCTTCCCATTCAAGGTACCCTGGGCAGAAAATGGCAGACAGACACAATCATCCCTAGAAGAACTGGGCCATCCTTGGAGACTCAAGCCAGAGAAACCCATCTCAGAACCACTTCTTACCCAATCCTAAGAGGAAGGCCACAGGCTGCTCCATCCTAGAGAGAGCGCCTTGAAAGAGAGCAGCAAGGTGCACTTTCCAGGTTGTTGTCTGCAAATATTTAATGGCTGCTGGCCCCGAAGATTCCAGCTTTTAGCGACAGAACCTCCAAACCTGGCAGCCAGCAAGCAACATATGCATGGGGAGATGCTCTGTTTGGAGGCAAGTATGGTGGTTTGAATAAGAATGGCCTCCATAAGCTCATTTGTTTGAATGCCTAGTCCCCAGTTGGTGGAACTGTTTGGGAAGGATTAGGAGGTGTGGTCTATTATGGGTTTCAAAAGCCCATGCCAGGACTAGCCTCAAATCTACTCATGGTATTCTCTCTGTCTCTCTGTCTGTCTCTGTGTCTCTGTCTGTCTCTGTCTCTCTGTCTGTCTCTCTGTGTGTGTGTGTGTGTGTGTATGTGATCCAGCTCTGTGTCTGCCATCATGCTCCCTGACATGATGATCATATACTAACCCTCTGAAACTGTAAGCAAGCCCCCATTAAATGCTTTTCTTCTTTTATAAGTTGCCTTGATCACAGTGTCTCTTCAGAGCAATAGAACAGTAACTAAGACAGAAAGGTTATAAACTAAAATCAGTTCCAATATTGACAAATTATATGGCATCACTTTAGAATTACAGGCACAGGCCCGCAATCCCAGCTACTCAGATTCAGTGGCCTGTCAGGAGTGAATTCAAGGCCAACCTGGACAATGAGTGAGACAGTGCAGTAAGGGCTAGGCACAAGCCTCAATAGTAAGGTGCTTGCCTGACATGGACCATACCCTAGATTGAATCCCAAGCACTAAAAGGAATAAAAGAAGAATCCAAATGTCTAATGGGAGAAGGTTTTATAGGAAGAGAGGTCCCCCAGGTCCTGGGGACAGAAGTACAAGGATAGCAAAGCTGAGGCCTAGCGCCCTCCTGGAAGTGAGCTGAAGACAGATGCTATGCACAGGAAGCCTAGCCCGCGGGGCCCTCTGTGAGCAGTGCAGGCGCTGGAAGCAGGACAGGCTATCCTCTGCTCAACCCCTTCCCCTCACTTCCAACAGCCTTGGCCAGAATTCACACTCGTTCACAGGACTAATGGCCTTGGAATGACAGGGAGTTAACATCAGAAACCCACCCAGCTCATGTGTCTCACATCCCCCCTTCACTGGCTGCATGGAAACTAATGCCCACCTCTGACAAAAGACAAACACCTTCTGGGAGGAGTTACAAACTCTTACATAGAACGCCTGTCATACTGGGGTTCGCAGACTCTCTGACTGGCAGTCATGGCCACACATACCACACTTACATCTGCTAATCGCATGGCTCACACCTGACAACACCAGTGTCACGCAGAGGAGACACCGCCATGACTTATTTATGAAGAAAACAGTCCACACAATGACAAACTATAAATGAAAAATGTTTTACATTTGTTCTGAATATTGGCCTGCTTTAGAAATGGCTAACTTGCTCTCTTTTTAAAAAAATATTAATATTTGGCCAACACAAGGTACCCATTGAAAAATTTAAATCTTCCCTTGAGTCTGGTGTAAGTGAGAATGATCTGAGCACTTCCCAAATCTAGGTGACAGGTGTCTGAGGTGGAGTAATGAGAGGAAAAATCCATTAGGAAAGCAGAAGGCAGAGAGGTACCTGCTTCCTGTCCTCCATTTTCTTGAAATCTTCACATGCCAACCAAAACAAGACATTTTCTTCACTGAATTCCTTCTTTAGAAACTCCTATAGATAAAAATGGGGAGAAAGAACCATATAGTGTTCAACACTGAGAAAAAGATGCGTTTCCTTTAGAAGATGACTTGGCAAAAGTGGACCGAGGAGCCTGGATTAATCAGCCCTTGAAAAAACTCCACCCGGAAAAACAGAGAACATGTTTAATGTTGAAGCAAGTATTTCTTACGCATTTAACCTTAATGGTTTTGACATTGCAAGGCACAATAAAAATGAGGCGGGAATCTACTCGCATTTCTGAGGCGACAATAAATTACCAAAAAGTAAATTAAAGTGGAAGATATATCAGCCCCTTCCAGACACTGTTTAAACAAAGTACATTCCTCCAAAGCCAGGCCCTTTTTTTTTAAACAAAAGAAAAGAAAACATATTAAGCCTGTCCAAATCACAGTGATGGAGACCATTTTAAGTTGGAGGTGTGCTCTCCTGGGACTGCTGGTTGAGGAGTCAGCACGTGGTCAGCTCTCCGGCCGTTCAAACCTCACTGGCCTCTAAACAGTGCTCACAGCTCTGCCTCCCATGGGGCTCCATGGGGACCAGCAGCACCTTGCCCCATCACTTAAAAAGCCAAGGTGCAGGGTCAGGATTGAGACTCATGTGTGACTGCCGTGAGGAGCAGCAGTTATGCTGGCAGGAAAGCCATTTCTTGGTGGCATTAGCTCTTTCCTGCCCATCAGCCCTCCTTTGGAAGATTCCTTCCCCAGCTTCACTTACCATCCAACCTCTCTCACCAGTGATGCCTCCAGAGAGGGTCTGAGACTGGAAAGAACAAACCTTTACCTCAAAGACCCAGATCATCCTTGCCAGTCCTGAAAACCCTTCCTCTGGATCCCATTTGGGTAGAGCATCCTCCCTCATCATCCCAATCTCCTCCCCACTATCTATAGGAAAACCAGAGACAGGCTCCATGTCCCTTAGTGGGAGTCCAAGGTGGCCATGACCAATGAACAGTTCTTAGTCTGTAGCTAGGACAGTCAGTATCAAACACCGTCCTGGTCCCCACACCCCTACCCCCCATCACACACATGTCAAAGCTTTTCCTATTGCATCTACCCTAATGAACAATGAAAAGGCGAACCCTAAATCTCTTCACGCCTTCTGGATCTTCCAGAAGATTCTCCAAAGAGGACGCCCACTTGGCTGTGCTCTTGAGGCTCTGGTGGCTGCTGCTTGAGCTCCCATCGCTGTCATGGAGATCTGCAAAACACAGTTCAGACAAGTGTCACCACTGAAAGATTCTGTCCCATGCAGTCAGTGCTTATGAGGAAATTACTGTAACTCTGCACGGTAAGGTCACCACCACCGTCGGCACCAAACCAACATGTACCCAGTCTACCGAAGTGGGAGTCACTATTCCCTCCACTATTCAGACAAAAGAAACCCAAAGACCAAATAACAAACAACAAACAAAACAACAGAGTGACTTGCCATTTCTATTATGTCCCAGCTTGTCCCTTGGCCCTTAAGTCTCTCTGCAGCCTACCTCCCATCGACCCCTGCCTGACTCAGCATCGACTCTTCCCCCTGCCCTTTTGCACTGGTGACTCCATGGATCTGAAAGCCCCTATAGAACAGCATCTTCAATCTGTGTGCCACATAAGGAAGAGTGTGAAGCAGGGCCGGGGTGATGGCAATCACACCAAAAGTAGGAAAGATACTCAAACATGGAGATAAATGTCTTCGTGTGATACAATTAACGTACAAAGACTCCATAACGGGGCTAGGGGTATGTGTGTGGGGGGGGGGGGAGGAATGCTTGTCTAGCATGTGCTGAGCCCTGGGTTCTATCTTGAGTTCTATGATAAAGCTCATGACAAACAAACACCAGCATTTTAAATAAAGCATCAGTGGTCTCCATCTTCACTCTCATTTGGACCTCCAGTGTGGTTTGCCAACACAGTTACTTATCCAGTTTTTATCTGAACCTCTGTAGTTTGGTTTATAGATTTTTTTTTTGCTTTTAAACATGTCGTATCCTTTAAAATATAGCCAGGGATGTGTCTCCATTGGGAGAGTGCTTGTCTAGTAACACAAAGCCCTGGGTTCCAGCCTCAGAACTGCACAAAAGCAGCCATGGTAGCACCTGTCTGAGATCCTAGCACTTGAGAGGTAAGAGATCAGGAGTTCAGTCAACCTTGGCTACACAGGAAGTTCAAAATCAGCTTGAGAAACATGCGATCCTGCCTATGGATGGATGGATAGATGGATGGATGGATGGATGATGGATGGTGACGGAGTTAAATGTCACTGACTTGATGCTACACAGAGTGAATGGGTGACTGCTCGTGACATCTTATATAACAGGCTTGATACTTAAAATCGTCTTTACCAAAAAGGGGGGAGGACAGCGGGACTTGCAATATCATGACTGGTATGTCACTTTGGTTGAATCCAAGTTCAAAACCAACTTGACTTGTTTGGGCTACAAGATATTGAGTAAAATCTATGTGCACACCTGAGGAAAATCCTCTGAGCTGGGGGCGGTTATCTAAGCATTCAAGATAGAAGTACAAACTATGCATTTCTCCACAGAAGGTAGGAGGATGTTGCATCTTTCCAGCACAAAGAAATAAGAAGACTCTGAAGCGGTATATATGACAACTACCCTGACCTAATCCTTATATAATATATACTTAAATGTCCCCACCGTATCTAACACATATGTATAATTATCATGTGTCCATCAGGGGACACAATAAGTGGTTCATCCGAGAGCTGACAGCACACTGAGTCTCTTTCCTCTTTTCCACAAAGAATGCCCCACCAAGGGAACCATATTGACAGCTAGTACCTTTTTCCACAATTGACTTTTCTCGTCCCAAACACTAAAGACAAAGTTCTATTTATAAAATTGAATCTAGGAAAAAAATTAAGAGACCAAAAATCATTTTTTAAAGCATGATTGGAAAAAAAAACATTATATTAATCACTGAAAACAACTAGGAAACCATAAAAGTGAAACATTCTTTTAAGGAAAATTTGTATCAAAATATACCAGACTCGCACCGAGGAGCTGGCTTGGTTGGTAAAGTACCTTCTGTACAGGCATGGGGACCCAAGTTTGATTCCCAGCACCCAAGTGTGAGCCTAGCTGAACTAGTAAGCCTTGGGCCACTGAGAAGCCCCATCTCCAAAAACAGCAGATAGCTACTAAGGAACACCCCTTAAAGCTGTCGGATGGCTTCAACACATGTGCACACACACTTACAAGCACACCTGTGCACTTGGGCACACACGCACACACACACAGGCGGTTGGGAGGGAGAGAATAATAGACTTAATAGTTGCCAGTTGATGTCCTTTTGGGGACAAAACAACACATCCTAACCTTGATTTTGTTTGTTTTGAGTGTTTTTTTTGTTCTTTTGTTCTTGTTTTGTTTTGGTTTTGTTTTTTTTTTTTTGAGAGAGAAGGGTCTTACTATGTATCCTATGCTGGCTTAGAACTCATAAACTCACAATCTTCCTTCTTAGTCTTTCCAGGGCTGGAACTGCCTCTCTGAACCACCACATCCAGATTGACACCTTAACCTCTTATTCTTCTGGGGTCCTTTTCCTGCACCTCTATAAAACAGAACCACATCAGAAACCTAGGAACTGCACATCGGTGCTCACCAGTGACATAATATATGTGAGAGAATTTGTGGGGTGCCATTCCTCTTGGCAAAGCAAGCTCCCTAGAACAACTGACTACCTGACCCTGCTGGCCTTCCAAAGTGACACTCCAGCTCGTGGGTAAGAAATGAGTTCCTGGCCCCTTATCTACCACAGAATATCTATCCCTGGACACAGAGCTTCTCCACAAATACCAGGTTTTTAAAATCATTACAAGAGGCTCCTTCCAGCAAGCATCCCTCCAACTTACCTCTGTCCTCCGCGTCGAGAACACAGTTTGACCATTTACTCCACTGCCCCAGCACATCCTCTTAAGCAAATAAACACCAGGGCACAAGCACTCTGTTCTGGGAGCCTCAGGCAGCCACGAGCTCCCTTCCACGTTTTCAGCCTTAGTCTGAAAGGACGTTGAAATTCTTGGCACTCTTAAATAATCAACCATACCACGCCAGGGTTTCACTGCCCTGCTCTCTGGCAAATAAATGCACATGGCGGGTTGCACTCAGGCAGCTGAGAGCTGGCTCCACTGCTGGGGACATGCACACCACCCCCTTGACTACTAATCTGTGGATTAACTTTCTGTGGCAGCTGTCAATTGAACAAGCAGTGAGCTGGCCCCTTTGGTACCTGAGGTCCATTCTTAGCACCCACACACAAAGCCAGGAGCAGCAGTACCTATGTAATCCCAGTGCTGAAAAGGCAGAGGCAGGAGGATTCCTGGGGCTCACTGACAAGGTAGTCAAACCAAATCACAGAATCCCAGGTTCAGTGAGAAAGCATGTTCCAAATTAACAAGGTGGACATGACTGAGGAAGACGCCTGACAGCAATGTCTAGCTTCCACATGTGTTATGCTCATGCACATACATGTGCGTACACACACACACACACACACACAAAGTTACACAATTCCAGATTTACTATCTAGACTGCCTCTTTAGACTGGAAAGCAAAAGTCCAAGAAAATGACTTATCCTGGGTGACATGCCTAAGGAATTGCTACATGGAACCAGTAAAACCTACTTGTCCCATCAGGATTGCCTCCACGGGACTCCAGGGTCCTTGGAACACAGAAAATGGTAGTCCCTCACGGATATATTCCAGGGCTCCCATCTCCCTTTCATCAGAAAATACAAACGATATTGTGTGATTCAGGGGAGGGATTCGCAAAATCTTTGGTTACTGGTGTTTTGACTTTGGAGCTCTTAAGTGTGTGTTTTATTATGAGTGTGTGTGTGTGTGTGTGTGTGTGTGTGTGTGTTGATGAGTGCCTGAGGAGGCCAGAAGAGGAGGGCATCAGAGCTGGGTTTCCAGGTAGGTGTGAGCTGCAGGACCAGCTAGCTGAGAACCAAACTCCAAGTCTCCAGGGACCACCGGTATGCACTCTTAGCTGATGAGCTGGGTTTGGGACTTCAGTTCTCCTGATTAAAGCCTTCCCTTTTGGCCGTTTCTACCACTGTAAGTTTCCCACAGGATTCTCCTGCTGGCTCCTGTCATGTGTTTTCTCTTTCCTTGGATATTGGTTTGGATCTTTTCCAAGACTTCAGATTGACTTTAAGGGTTTTTGTTGTTTGTTTTTCAATACTGGGTATTGACTGCAGGACCCCCTGCACATGCTAGGCAAGAGCTCTACCACTGTGTTCCTGTCTGCCACTTCCTCCTCTCCCTCCTCTCCCCTTCTTCATTCTGAAAATTAAGACTTTTGTTGTTGTTGTTCTGTTTGTTTGTTTGTTTGTTTGTTTGTTTGAGACAGGGTTTCTCTGTGTAGCCCTTGGCTGTCCTGGAACTCACTCTGTAAACCAGACTAGCCTCGAACTCAGAAATCCGCCTGCCTCTGCCTCCCAAGTGCTGAGATTAAAGGCGTGCACCACCACCGCCCGGCCTGTTGTTGTTGTTCTTACAACAAACAGATCTTCCTGGAGCAACATCTGCAAACACAATTCACTTAATGGCATCTATATTTTGTCTGTTTTTTTTATTTCTATAACAACATACCTGAGGCAAGCTACTTTATAAAGCAAGAGGTTTGTTTTGGCTCATTGATTCAGCTCCCAAAGACCACAACTCTAAACAATATATCTAAAAAATAAAAAATAAAAAATAAAAAAAATGTTTCTTCCACACTTCTAATACCTCACAATGGAAACTGCATTTCAACACAGGGGTTTTGAGACACAGTCAACCTCACCCAGGTCGCAGCCAGCGGTCACCTTCAGGCTCCCATGAAATGGCTCATCAGTCGGCTCCGTCTGGCATGGCCCTACAAGTCGCCCTGAATTCAGAGCACATCTGTGACTCAGTGTCTCCCGCTCAGAAAACATAATCTATTCCTTGATATAGATTAAGGGATTTACACTATCTCAGTTCACTTTAAACATGATATTTTGCCTAGAAACATGCAAGAGAAAGAATAACTTTTATCAATAGCAAGCAAGCTTACTTCTAAAGTTAAAAACATGGTAGCACACATCCGTAATCTCATCCATGGAGGCAATATCAAGAGGATACTGAGAGTTCAAGGCCAGGCCAATCCACATGGGGAGCTTCTGACCAGCCAGGCCTATATATGGGGAGATCCTCTGAA